CAGCAAAGAGCTCGTCAAGCATCCCATCGTCCATACGTGTCAAGAGACGGGTGTACCAGAATTTCTGCATAGGAGTCAAAGGTACGTATAGCAAGATCTCTTCCTTGGGCGGTAGACCGAGGTTGACTGAAGGAGAGTCCTTCATACGTCGCAACATGATGAGTTCGAGCAGGCGGCGGGCGTCTGTCATGGTTTGCTTGTTCGCTTTGCCCTTGCTGAGATCGAAAGACTCCTTGAAAAGTGTCTCGGTCTTGTCGTCGAAGACGTTGGGGTACAGCCATGTCAGAAGCGACCACATCTCGACCAAGTTGTTCTGAAGTGGTGTTCCAGTCAGGATGAGACGATACTCGGCACTGATGCTCTTGAGGGCTGTGGAGATCTGGGTGACACTGCTCTTGATCTTGTGTCCTTCATCCAAGACGACATAGCGCCAGGCGAAGCTGTGCTTGAACCAGGATTGCTCAGCCTGGAAAGTCTCGTATGTCGTGACAACAATCTTATAGTTATCGGATTGCTGGTCGTTGGAGGTGAGCTTGGCCGCCTTTCGGCCAGCCTTGCGCGAGGCTTTCCGGTCTTTGGCGCGCGAAGTTTCGTTGCCCTTCATGTCCTCCATACCAGCTATGACGCGCTTCAAGCGGGTTCGCTCGGTGACGGCGCCGTGGAAGCGCATGACCTTGAGGTGTGGTACCCATCTCTGGGCCTCGGTGACCCACGAGTTGAGTACACTGAGGGGGCATATGACGAGATAAGGGCGAAGTTCTTCTGAGGTGACACCGTTCTTCTCGTCCAGCTCTTCAAGATACTGGAACAGCGATAATGTCTGTAGCGTCTTTCCGAGACCCATCTCGTCGCCGAGTATACCGGAGAAACCGTTGTTGTAGAGATGGACCAAGTATGACAGACCAGATAGTTGGTATGGCTTCATTACAGCGGTGACGCCTTTTGGTTGCTCCGAGAGCTCTTCGTACTCGACAATGGGCTGCGCATCGCCCTGAGCGACAAGCTTTGCGACCTGATTGTTCTTAGGCAGAAGTGGGAGAAAGAGATCTTTGTTGGCGACGAGAAAGCTGTTCGCTCTCGCCTTGGTCTTCTTAGCAATGTCGTCGCGGAGACGGGCACGAGCGGTATCGAGGTTGGGCGGCGGCCGGGCTGACTTCCGACGGGGTGGTGACGGGGTGGGCATGGTGTCGGACTCCAGGATAGTGCTCTTCCTGTCGCGCGTGCTCCGGCGAAGTCCACCAGACTGTTGGCGCTCCTTCTTGCGTTTCTCCATCTTCAGTTCCTCGGTGTAGGCCGAGATTCTGGCGCTTGTCTTGCGGTTCGGGCGAGCTGATGGGGCGAGTTCGTCTTCGCTGGTTCCCGCGTGGGCGCCAGCTCGTCTTGTGGAGGCGCGAGGGTACTTGTCGGCGACGGTCCTGGGCTTGTGGTCAGGCGTGGATGGCGAGGCTTCGTTTGCGGATGAGTCGGAGGCGACGTAGTTTGGCGTTGGTTGCGCGCGCAGGCTGCGTTTGTTGTCGCTAGTCTCGTCGGGCTTGGTCGCCTGCTGCGAAGAGATGCGTCGTCTCTTGGTGGCCGATTGGGCTGAGCTCTCGGAGCCAAACTGCGCCAGGAGGTCTTCGTAAATGCCACCTCGTTTCTTGGGAGTGATGGGCTGGGGCGAACCCAGGGTGATGATCGGATGTCCCGCCATGGCGACAACTGTGGGGTATCTTGTAGGCAAATGTTGCGCAGTGAATGTAAATTGGCCAGGGGTGTACAGTACAACGGAATTGACAGAGAAGTGTTGTCGCAGGGCAAAGAAGGACAAAGCACAGCAAGAAAAGTCTTAGACAAGGCCGGTGACGGTGAGGATGAAATGAAACGACGCAGCGTGCCCAAAGGAGCGTGATAAGACGACTGGGCGTCTTCACGGTGAAGTGAAGTGAAGCGTCGCCGCATCGCCAGGCGCGGAGGCGATACGTCGATTGCGGCCGACGCGTCCTAGCGCGACTTGCAGGCGTTCCTTCCGGAACCGTTCCGAGCTATCAAGTCTATCCAACGCCGCGACCTCCACACGTCGACATTTCGCGAACCAAGTCCCCACGCCCGCGCATCTGGCGCACCACCCTCGACCACCATGGCGCAACAGCCCATGACGCCCTTCTTCCCCATCTTCGCCTCCAAGTCGGATGGGCAGCACATCGTCAACCTCAAAGGCCGGCCGCTCAGAAATGGGCCGACCGAGGAACAGCTCAACACGTCGCCCAACGACCAGGGCCAGCGCGACTTCTACCGCCTCATCGAGAAGGAAGACCCCAAGCACCAGGACTGGCGCAAGAAACTGGGCGGCATGCTCCTGCGCGAGATCGGAGGGAAGCAGTTCGAAGGTATGGCTATGCGAGGCGCATTCGCTGCAGCGCACTAACATGTGACAGATCGGTGGCAGCAATGCATTCTGTGGGAGCTGCCCGAGAACTACGTCCTATACGAGCACATCAAGACCAAGGCAGACGGCCAGCTGAAGACAGTCAAGAACCACTCGGGCGGCGGCCACGACAGACAAGACGCCTATCTCTATGGATACCCCAAAGGCCCCAAGAAGCGCTTCAGGAGCCCCGTCGAGTTCTTCCCCCATCTCCTGTGGCTGTGCACCGACGAGAACAGCGACATGGCCAACTGCACGTGCAAGATGTGCTCACCCGCCGGCGACGTCGAGAAGCCCCAGGTCAAGGTCGAAGTCAAGCAAGAACAGCCTGCACCCATCAAGCGCGAAAACAGCTCCAGCGGCGCTATACCAAACACAAACGTCACAGGGCGCAACCCCATAGTGCAAATCCCTGCCCGAAGGTCATCGACCGGTGCGCCTATCCCAAGTCCCATCGTCAAGCCCTCTACGCCCGTTGCCGGTCCCAGGCCTACCCCCACACCCGCCGCTGCACAGATCAGAGCTCCCCCGACATTGCAGTCAACACCTCTCCCCCAGCCACGATCCATCGAACAACAAGCCGACTTGTCATACAACAAATTCCTCTGCCGGAGCGGCGAGGTGGTGTGGTTCTTCCGTCCCAAGACGTCAGCCTGGGGCCTGGGACTGGTGGTGCGAAGATGGGCTACCAAAGAGGTGCCTATGAGCAGGGCATACCTGATCCAGCCTCTGTCGCATCCTTTCGAATCGCCTCCACAAGAACTCGTGCAAACCGATGACCATGTCAAGCCCTGGCTCGCCTGGTCTGCACCCAGCTGCACCTTCCCCTTCCTACAGCAGAACCCCCAATTCGAATATCACAACACGGATTGGAGAGCACTCATTAGTGGACAGGGAGGCGAGGGCATAGCGTCTGTCGACGCGTCTATATTAGCTGCAAAAGCCATCGATACCACGTATACACTCTTCGAGTGCCTCAAGACGAACAAGGACGACAAGGGAAACGAAGTCCGACAGTATAACGGCATGTATCTGGGCGCCGAGAAGATCTGGAGAGGCGAGGCTGTCCGTCTGCGCATAGGGGCCACTGGAACCGATCTCATGGTCGTGACCGACATTATCGAGCAAGTCCTTGTCAACCCGCCCACCACCAAAGTCATTGCCATAGGCGATGTCTACAGCTACGCCACGTTGGATGCTCCAGACGCAAACCTTCCCCCCAAACCACCCCAACAGAACAACAACATTCCATCGCGCATGGTCCACGACATGGTGTGGCGAAACCGCATGCTCGTCCCCCTCACACGCACCGCAGCGTGGTGGAAGCTCATCCAGCCAGCCTACAAGATAGACATCGACGACATCAAAGGCCGTTGGTACGAGACAAGTCTTGTCTTCCAAGAGCCCTTTGCCAAAGCAGTCAAGAACGGCGAGGGCGGAAACGGTATCTGGATGAACTCGCGTGGAGATGCAACAGGCAAGGGCAAAGGAGCCAGTGTGGCGCAACCCGACCGCATTGGTGCCTTTGGAGCCTCCGTGCCCAAAGGGACCCGCGTTGTCGAGGGCCTGGATCCTCCCAGTCAGCCTATGGGTCAACAACAGCAATCGCACGATGGAATGGATATTAATATGGGGGGCGGAAATATGGCAGACCCTTTTTCCATCGACGAGTTTATGCATGTTGATCATCTGGGCGATGATGCGGGGATGGAGTATGGTGGTAACAACAACTACACTTTCTAGTGGAAGTGTTTTCGCTTCGTAGCAGATGGCATAGCATGGCGTATCTCGGCGTGACGGACGGTTCGCATTTCCAAAAGCATTTCTGGCAGGGTATACGCATTGTTTCTATTCGTATGGGAGATACCCAGGTCGTTGTTCGACTATGTAAACTATCGCTAGCTCGGTGACTGCAGGTATTCAATGTAGTACAGTCCATGCTGAACAAAGCGCGAGCCGACAACAAGCCTATGCACATGACTCATTCAACCACAAGATACATAGCTGAAACCTTCAAGGGCGCCCCTGTTGTTGTGAATGAATTCCAGTTATGACGACGTAGTCATGGGTCATAAGCGCGAACACTCAGTGTCAGCCTTCATTGACCGTTGTAGCATAGAAACACGTAGGACTTACCAAGCACAACTCCGTATTTTCAAAGGGTTAACACGCAAAACGACTTGGATTGATCATGTCTACTAACCCAGAACTAGCAGAGCAGTGGCAGCCGCCCACCGAGTCACGAGGCAGAGTTCCTTTGGTGACTCGGGGAACAAGCTGTGGTGAATCCATCGAAGGCGATTTCCCACTCGATCAGGTCGTCATAGACAGTATGTACCATAGATCTTACTGCGTAATATACCTAGGCAGCTACTCATCATGAGCAGAACTACCTGCAGGCACTCAAGTCCACAGCTGCAACCGACACGGCGCATCAAAATGGACAGTCACCGCAAAGATAGACACCACACGCCCAGACGCTCCACCGAAATCGTACTTCCTGAAGGTACTTACAACCACCTGCCGATAACAAGATACTCTGCTTGCAATCCAACTAACGCTCATAAAGTGCGCAGACGGCGACCAAGGCAAAGCCATGCTCAAAGGCGAATACAACTCAATGTGTGCCCTCCACAAAGCCGCACCAACCTTCGTCCCTGCGCCCCACGCATACGGCCAACTCAACGTATCAAACCCAGACTCCTACTTCTTCCTCTGCTCCTTTCTATCCATGGACACAAGTCAAACCCCCGACCCAGAACAACTATGCAAGAAACTCACCACGCTCCACCTCTCCAGCGCGTCACCAACCGGACAATTCGGTTTCCACATGAAGACGTGTCAGGGTAATCTGCCCCAGCAAACAGCCTGGCAAAACAGTTGGAAAGACTTCTTCGTCCAGCTCCTCAGGGGTGCTATGAAACTCAACCGCGATATTAATGGGCCTTGGAAAGATCTGCAGGAATGTACTGATCGCCTCATCTCGCACGTCGTACCGGCCCTCCTAGATCCCCTCACAGAGGAAGGCCGCGTTATAAAACCTGTGTTGATACACGGCGATCTCTGGGATGGAAATATCGGTATTGACACCACCACGGGTGAAATATATGCCTTTGACGCCTGTGCATACTACGCGCATCACGAGATGGAGATTGCCATTTGGCGCGGAGATCCTAGTAAAATCTTGGGTCGGCAAGAGTATACTGATGCGTATGTACAGATGATGGGGGCGAGTGAGCCGGTGGAGGACTTTGAGGACAGAGGCAGGCTTTATTGTGCTTATATGAACTTGCATGCGAGTGCTTGTCATGGGGGAGACATTTTCAGGGAGAAGTAAGTTGGTGCCAAACGTGTGAATCCAGCGGCTTGTTGCTGACTTGATGGCTTACAGATCTTATGGGATTATGAAGGATTTGATTGAGAAATACCCGCTGCGGGGTGAAGAGCAAGAGGATGTGCGTTGAGTCGGTGGTACAAATACATGACTGTTTGAGATAAAGATGCATCATCGGGCGCGCTACGAATATTCCGTGGAACGACTCCAGGCTTTGTGTAAAGAAGGTTTCGTCTACATGTATTCCTAAATTGGTAATTCTGATTAGATTCCCAATTCAACATATCCAACATCTCTTTATTCATGCAAAAGCCCCGGATCTGAGTTTGCACGATGATAACCTTGTCGATTCTGCACCTGATCTTGCGCATTTGGCCACGTCTGTGAGCTAGTGCGCATTCGTCCCTGCTCGAAGAAAGAAGTCTCCTCGTTGCTATGCTCATCGCTGCTCATTTGGGCTTCAAATTGTCGTCGCTGATGCTCTTGCGATGTTCTCTGGACAAGAGGTGTCGAAGAGTCGTCGCTTATGCGCGGAAGATTGGGCACGTGTGGATCGACCGTGGCTTCGCTTTCGTTGCTTGTTCGAGGTGGTAGATTTATCAGCGGGATCAAGGGGCTTGTCATGGCCGGCGTAGCGAAAACCGAATTATGCGTTCTAGCATCGTAGTCCGCCCGCTCAACTGCAGGTATGGAATGGCCATCGGTATTGCCAGAGGGAGAAGTTACGCTAGACTGCACTGAATCCAGCTTGCAATGTTTAGTCCACACAAGCGTTTTGCGTGGCTTTTTGATCAGACGGATAGCAACAGCGAGCTTCTTTACCCAGGTCAACATAGCGCGGGATCTGCGACGAGCAAACACTGTCCACGATCGATACTTGCGGGTCATTCGTAAGCCTTTCATGGCGTCTTGATAGTTTTCGGTCGAGAGAAACGATTGCTGGCACCACTGGAGAGGTAGACATACGAAGTCAGTACGTGTCTCACATCCATTTGGTATAGTTAAAACTTACTTCCACGGTAATGTAGAGCATGGATAGACCCATGACTGATGCGGTCAACGAGGTACCTGACACCCAGCACCAGGCAATCCAGTAGCTGTTCGAGTTGAACTGTTGACTGAAATCAAGGTAGCCGCCACCCCACGACCAATTACTGGTTATGCAGTCACAGGTTCTGTACAAGCCAGAGACTTGCGCCATAACGATATACATCTGTGGGCAAGTAGTCAGTCATATAGTTCTTCATCAGAGAACACAAGCGCAACTTACTAGCCATATGGCGTTGAAAGTTTCTATGGGTCGGAAGAAGCAAACTTCCCACTTTCTTTGTGGACTCATTTCGCGCAGGTCGGTCCACGCTTCCTTTAAGGTATCTTCAACTCTCTGTTTGATAGTTTCCTGGTCTGTGTACGGTACTTTGAGAGCAATGAAGACTATGCAGCGAACGAACAAGTCTCCCGAGGTGTCGCATATTCGTGAAGCGCTTCGTTTTAGTCTTTCCCATCTCATCTGTGCGTAGTCCACCCAGTGATTCAAGGTGCCATGGTTATGTAGGTGACTCTCAGCGTTGGTAAGCCAGCGTGAATCAACCTCGTACGACGAGAGAAACATCCAGACGGTCATCTCAACGATAAGCAGGCCCAATGCGACGGTGAAGAATATCGTGTACCCCCCGCTGCGACAACCGAGACCGATGGTGGGCGTGAAGTAGCTCAAGATAAAGGCGCCTCCGCAACTTCCGCCGACGATGATGACGGCACTGATTATCTGCCAAATTTCTCGGAAATCAAACCAAACTAAACCCTCTTCATTGATGGGCCCAAGGACAAGACTTGTCCGTGCTTCAATCTCATTTGCCAGCCAATTGCGACCCTTCTTTTCGATATAACAGCGCTCGATATCAGAGAGAATGGCGTGCGCGGCACCATAGTGCCACCGAATGCGCGCTTGACCAGCGAAATTCTCGAAAAAAGGGACCATGTGCTCTGATTTGTCTGCCACACTAACGATCTTGGCTCTCAACTCATGGTACTTTGGCTGACCTCGAAAGGGTTCAAGGTACTCGTCACGATTTCGCTCGTCGCGTAGAGCATTGCAAACGTGGTCGACCAAGATATTGAGTTTCTTGCGGATCGCTTCTGCCGAAATTGGGTTGCGGTCTACGATAGAGCCCATAATGAGGACCGGGAACCAGGCCAGCAAACAGCCCAACGCCAAATCATGAGCAGTGGTGTTGGCTCCCAGTTCACTAAAAGCATCTTGTATGGAAAGAGCGAATGCAAATAAGAACCACAAGATGGATATAAAGACTGAGCCACTAGTTAGCGCGAGCTTTCATATCGGATACGAGCAATTACCTGGTACAGTGCCTCTTCTTCTCGTTTCACGCACCTCTTGCGCCAGTACATGTCTCATTTGAAGAAGTGTCTTGTCCGTATCTGTTAATCTGAGATCTTTGCTGAAGAGTGTGATGCGTAGCAAGCACTCCGCGTCTTTCTGGAAATCTTTCGGCATGGCCGTTGACTTCAGCGTGTACTGGTTCATGACCAGCAAGAGATACATCGAGTCTCGCATGCTCCCGAAGTCGGTCGTGCACTCAGGCGTCTCGTTGTAGTTAACAGCCATGTCGACCATCAATGCAGCTTTGGCGGATACTTTGATGTTCCACAATACATAGGACAGCGATGCGATAGGCGAGCCCACCCATCGCGTGATGGCGAATAGTGTTCGTCGAGCTGCGTTGCTCTCGAAGGGTGCTTGCAAGAGTATACCAATGGTCGGCAGTACCCAGGTGGTTATTACTCCGGAAATATCCCTCCATGCGTATATATCCGCATCTGGGCCACACACTGCGTTACACCCTTCTCTGGATATCTGCGATGTGTAATTATACTTGATGCCAATGATGGTACCGTTCCATCCCCATTGCCTGCGAAGTGACTCGGCGTCGGAGGTGTTGGCTGTGAAGCGCGCTTCACATTCCGTAAAGTTGGTCATATCGACTGGAAGGCGCGCGAGGCAGAATCATTGTGGAGTTCATATGGCTGGCGCACGTCGTATTTATTGAAATAATGAAGTGCGCCTTCGAATCAGACTGCGGTCTGGTTCTGGTGGCGGGACTCACCGTGGAGTTGACATGGCGGGTGCGCATCGCTGTTATCACCCAGTGCGGTTGCTAGGCTGCAATCCACCCCATGGCCCCCAAAGTGATTGCCTGCCAGAGACAAGGTATCCAATAGGAGAGTGCGGATATCGAGCCTCATCTTCGACCGGTGAGCGCATAAGTACAGAGTCAGCTCTTGTACTACCTCATCTACCGTTCAGGTGGCTTGAAATGGGGCCAGCCCGTGTCAGCTACGCATGGGTGACGTGACGGAAGCTACTTCAAGCGAATGGGCAACAGCTTTCGTCCGGGTTTGAACAGCCTGGTATCGCATACCGTCAACGTACTGGAGGTGGCGCAAAAAAGGCATACAGGCAGAAGAGATAACACTGAGACGGATATACGATGGGGTTATTGGGTGTGGGGGCGGTTCATCTTCGCGTTGGCAACGACGCGTCCGTCATTTCGCGGCGGCAACCGCGCCCGGCGAGGCGCGCCTGCCCATTACTTTACATCACGTGCTTCTGAACAATCACCTGCAACCTTGGCATCAGCGAATCAACAATTCGCTCCCTACTCGAGCACCAACACCAGAAATACTCGCGTACTGCGGTTAGTACCGCTGTTTTCTCATCGACTAAAGATACAGGATAAAGTCTCAATTACGGCTCTTAGAGCTGAAGCAACCTGGGGTGGAATAATGCTCTCATCAGTAAGCACCAACAGACCCTGAATACAAGAAATTGAAGCCAGTACGGATTAGAATAGACGCAGTAGTAGTAATACATCACGTGCTGATTATGAGCGTCCTAATAGTGGCTTCAGTTGACTCTCAATTCTAGGATGCATTGCCATCGCGCACGTCGAGAAATGTATATCAATGAAGTAGTTATTTGATAAGACAAGCTTCGTAAGCGTAGTGCTCATAATGCTCTCATAATACATAAATAGGGTATCGTTTCCCTTGGTACAGCAGGTATATACAACAAAGATTTTCCCCATGTCCAACAATGCCAAAAACACCATGCGATGCAAATATTCCATACAAAAACCCATGAACACGCCGACAACATGAGTTCAGACATGCGCCTTCTTCCTCCCTCTCTTCTCACCCTCCTTCCTCATACGCCCCAACCTAGTCCCACTACCAGGCTGACTCGCCCTCCACCACGCCAGGGGCTTAATCTTGACATGCCAACCGCACTCCTCGACCGATTCGATTCTCTGTTTCGAAACGATGTTGCGGATCTGTTCCGTGGCTACGAGGGGCATGTAATGTCCTGGTGTGAAGAACTCGCGTTCGGCGTCGCCCCGAAGCGCGGGACTTAGTCATGAGAAGAAGTACTTGGATTCGCGGAGACGAGATACGTCCCAGCCGCCCTTTTGCGGAACAGGCGGGAAGCTGAGTGGGATCCAGACTTGAATCGTGCCCTGATCGTAAGCGACACGGGAGGCAGATTTCTTCTTTGTCGCGTAACGACCGCCTTGGGGGTCTTTTGCAAGATCTTCGGCGTCCTCTTCCACAATGTCCATCGTGGATTCAGTGGTGGTGACAGCGTCCTCTTCTTCGCCCAAGGCCTCGTCCTTGACCTGTGTTTCCCTGTCGGCTGACTTCTTATCTTTGGTCTCCCCAAGAAGACTGAGCCTGTACGAGTGGAGTGCCTTGGGATCCTGATTCTCAAGCCAGATGCTGGTAGGTGTGACCATCTCTTCACCTTGCTTCCTCTTCTCGGGATCTTGACTATTTAGAAGCTCTTGCCGCTTAGCCTCGAGCGCAACTTCCTCGAATGAAGCATCTCCGTGCCGCGAGCCATTAGCTTTCGAAAGAATGCCCTTAGCTTGACGGCGCTCATGTCTCCACAGGGTAATCTTCCGACTAACGTCAGCGCCGATATGAAGGGTGGCACGGTACATAGCCCCTGCATAACGCGCAGTAAACTCTGCAGCGAGACGGTCGACGATATCTTCAGTGTGCATTCGCACAAAGGCATCGCGGAGGATGACGTTGAGGTTGGGGATATCGGAAGCGTGTGTCCAGAAACTGTCGTGTACGGCGGCAAAGTCAAGACCCATCTCGCTAGCCTTCAATGCTGAGAGCAACATGTGGCTCGCATCAAGAGAGTGGATGAAGTTGGGCGGAAACGCTTGAAGTTGTTTGCGTTTGTCGACTTCATCCTGCTGGGACTTCTTGGCGACTGTAATGTCTTGGATCTTGGTCTTGATCTTTTGGAACCCATCTTTCCTGTAGGGCTGCACAATGGGCATCTTCAGCGGGGTGGTCCAGATGATACTAGTCGTAAAACTCTCCATAGCCTTGTTGAGTTGCTTTAGTTGACCTGCAGAGACCTTTTGTGGCGCCTTGAATTTCGGATCGTATAGTGCCCCAGAAGGGTCTGCGCCATCGAAGCGGTCTTTAATCCGTTTGATCTGCTCAGCAGTGATTGATGTCGTTATGCGCTCGCCACATTCGCCAAGCCAGTATTGGATTTCTTGAGCGCCGTTGAAGATTTTGCCCAAGGCGTCAAAGATCTTGTAGGCAATGTACAACGCGACGCTTCCGAGCGAAGAAACCTGTTTTGTAGGCTCGAAATTAGGGAACAAGTTGCGTAGCTCGTCTTGCACCTGCTGCTTCGCACCCATGAAGGTAACTCCATAAACATTAGTCATGACTGTTCGCTTCACAACTTTGCGTGTGATGTGACCGTTGATGAAGCAAGCTTGTGCTAGACCTTTCTCGGCGTCTTTTGCGACCATCTCTTTGACAAGTTCGGCAACACCAGTGTAAATGTCCTGTGGCCTGTCGGAAGGCTCAAGATTGACCTGACGAGCACCGGCGTAGTCACCACCGAGCGCTGCGTAATGTTGGAGTCCGTTACATGTTCCATCCTGATGAACAGGTAACTGTGAAACAAAACGAGTCGGATCAGGCAGATCATGGGCGTTCTTCAGCTCCATGCAGCAAGACAAGCATTGCCATGGGTCTTCCGCCTGTGTCCACCACCGTCTGCCGCCCAAGGGATTCGTCGCAGAGTCGTAGATCTCTTCCAGATTATCCATGGTGAATTGTTCACGTTCTCGCAGACTAGCCTTATCGTAACCGTAAAGGTTGGCAAGATGGATCTTGAGCCACTGTAAGCCGACAGTACCGAGCTCTTTGCCATTCGCAAACTTGAGGAGTCCTCTCGAGATATCGGATCCGATGTGATTGAGGATAGGCGGGATTGGATAGGCACGACCTCGGAAGTCGACGCTGTGCGGGAAGAATATCTGCTTTTCGTTCACGTATGCTCGCGCCGTCTCTAGCTGGAAGTTTTGGAAACACCGCTGCGAATGCAGACCACCCACGCTGTTCTCGTATTCCTTCAGAGCCCTGCCCCACTTCGCCCGTTCCTGTAATGTGGCATCTCCAGAAGGTTCTTTGGGACGTTTGAGGTTAGTAACAGAGTCTTCTCCTACGAGAGACCCGATACTCTCGCCAGAGTTCCACGCCTGAGCCATGACCTCGAAGACAGGAGTGTTGATCTGCCAAGGTACACGACCGAGCACGTCCAGACCAGCCATGACTTTGTTCATGTCACCGTTTTCGATGGCTGACTTGGCATAAGCACGCTGTGCGCTATCACCCGCCTTTTGGCGCACGACCTTCTGCGGGATGGTGTAGTACCCCCCATCTTCAAAACTGGACCATGGTTTGGGTTCTACTACCATTGGTAGCCTGACTGAATGGATGGCATGCACAGAATCGGTTCGTAACTTGGTAACGAGCTCATGGTGAGGCACGAGTAAGCCGAGCTTTTTGCCTTGATGATATCCGACTGCATGATGGAAGGCGGCCATATTACGGGACAGCGTCTTGCCAGTTCTGGGGTCGTTTGCGGTCACAGTGAGGGTTGCGCTTTGAAGCAAAAGCTCTAGACAGAGAGCCCCAATCCGGGTTCGTACAGATAGTGGTATGTCGGCCTTTTCGATTTGATAGCTCATTTTCGGAGGTGTTGGTGTAGAAGAAGCCCCTTCGGTATCTTTAGTCTCTTTGGAAAGTTTCTCAACCAAATTCATCCTGGTCTGCTTGCGCTGCTTGCGGAGGAAAGCATCACGTCTCGTTTGTGACTCGGCGTTGAGGTAGTCTTGGACGTCAGTACCGATGGAAACAGACAGAGCGGCGACTTTGTAGGCGGAGTTGTCTTCGTCTTTGCCCTTTACTGCAGCCTGAGTAGCGCGAGCAACCGTGATTGCGGCCAACTTTTCAGGCCTGCATCTCTCCAGCCAAACACCGTAGGAAAGGGCTTCATCACGAGTCTTGACCTTTTCGGGATCGGACAACGTGTCCTTGACGTTTGCAATACGCTGCTTGAACAGCGGTACGAGGGCCAAGTACCAGCCATACATGATGGCCTGTATGGGCTTGGAGTTCATAACGCCATATATGCCAATCTCTTGCATCTTCTCATCTTCTTGTTTCCATCTCTCAACAGCAGCTTCTACTCCATCTTGTTCTATCTTCAGTTGTCGTGCGTATGCGTAGGCCCTGTCCTTGTCTTCTTGGGTCCCAGGCATATCGTGCGGATAGGGAACGCTTGACCCATCGTCGAACATCGTCAGGGCTTGCTTCAGCGAGTCGAGACCCATGCCCTTCTGCCTCACGGGCTTGATGGGCTGTGCTGGGTTGGACACCAGGCCGTGGTCTATGAGGTTCTTGCGACCGGAGGGAGTGGCGACGTGGAGATCCTGGACTTCTTCGACCGAGGGGGGTTCGTTGAAGGACTCCGGTTGCAGGCGGATCAATAAGTCCCACTCCTCGTCGGAGAATTCGGGGGAGGCGTTGATCTGGTCGAGAACATGGTCGCCGTGTCTGCGTGCGGTTGCAATGTATTCCCGTACTGCGTTTTCCTGTGCGCCCTCTTCTAGGAAGCTCATAGCCGCCCGGATTAGGGTAACAAAAGTCTGCGCATTGGGCTGGATGCCCTTGGCGACCATGTTGTTCTTGTACCAGTCTTGGACCTTCTGCATGCCCTCGGCGCTTGGATCCATCTGGTTGCTTTCGAGCAGCGTCTGCAGATAGACATTGTTGGCATCCAAGAGCTCTGCAGCTTCGGGATTGAAGACGGAGGCGAGGCGGGCGATGATGCTGGCTGCCCGGTCCAAGCGGCCAACTCGCAGACAGGCGTAGAGATTCTGGTGTAGCTCGATCGGGTCGGCACCGAGGCCGTAGACAGAACGCATCGGTGGGGATGCCGCTAACGTGTCACGCACGACGAGAGGATTTGTGGCGTCCCATGGCTGGAGCCGCGACAGCTCAGGCGATTGGAACTGGCGTCCCAGCGACAGCGCAAACGGGTCGAAGGGGAGGGCCGAGGGCGGTGGGGGTTGCATCTGCGCAGACGTGGCGAGGGAGCGTGTCTCGTGCCGTGACGACAGTGAAGTCGGCCGTTGCCGCTGCCGTTGCCGTTGGCTGGCATCATGTGGTGTGTGTGAAGTCTTGCGGGAGAGGGCTGGGCAGAGCCATGGCAGCGTCAATTGCTGCGACAGCGTCGAGGGCGTCGTGTAGGCATTCCTGCGGATGTTCCGCCCTAACGCTCGTGAGAGCATGTCGTGGGAAGGAGCGTGGCGCGTGCAAGTCTACGGGGTATTAAACAGATAAGAAAGAAAGAAAACCTAGACTGCTCAACGCCAGAAGACAAGTGGAAGGGACGATGCAGTGAATCGGGGGTAACAACTGGACGTCGAGTTGCCTCGCAGTTGAAGTTTCTCTCTCATGGAAATTTTGGCCGACCATCAGATCCATGCCCGCGTCATCACCGAAACGGCATCGCCCCACCTTGGCAACTTCCTCGCCACCCGAGCCACTAGCCACGGCCCTGCGCCTCTAGCACGAGATGATTACATAACATATCGAGCATTCGCATCAGTACCAGATGACAGTGGTATTATACAAAGGTACATTCGATATGGACTCATCATCCTTCTACACTTTCAGCTGTAGGTCTCGTAATCGTCCTCTCCCTCGTAGACGTCGCAACAGGTAGCGCATCCTCTATCAACTTCTCCAATTCATCGTCAATCGGCGCATCGAACATTTCCACCTCCCTCGTCTCGTCATCCACCCAATCACTACCATCCTCGTCTCCGAAGCAGAACAAATCGCTAGCTTCACCCGCAACAATCTTCTTATGCTTGCCCTTGGGTATCTTGCAGCCTCCAACCTCCGTGCGGAACAAGTCGGCATATTCTTTCGCCACGGTAGATATGTTTGCAGGAGCAATTAGCTTCCCGTCATAGAGAAGGTGGGGAAGGTGAGGTATCTCGGGGAGGTCGCCTTTGAAAGGCAGCGCTTGGTGGAGGGGCACTGAGCCTGGGATGACTGGCGGTTCGGGGCTTTGTGGTGGCTTGGGTGGTGTGTCGGCGCGCAGAAACGGCGCATCTGTCTCTTTTGGTATGACTGGACTTTCTTTTCCGTCCTCAGATGGAGTCGCGGAGAATTCCTCAGGGATGTGATATAGTTCGTTGTGGATGGTGACCAATGCATTTTCCATCGCTGCTGGATACAGAAGGGAATAACCCCGCGCGCGCATAAACTCGAGCATATACTCTGTCCATGCCGGAAGGGTCTCGGAAACCAGCTTTTCCCGAGACGTTGACTTGGCCGACTGCTGATGTTTCACAACACGGTTGCTAAGGAATGAATGCCATTCTGCCCATTTGTCTCCCAATAGCAACGCCGCATGGCTGTTCGGAGCCTGCCACATGTAAGGCACACTCTTAGCGTCAGGATACAATTTCTTGTACCGATCTGTGTGCATGTCGCTAGTCGAAGGAGCCTCCAGCTTTGTCTTGCCATCTAAGAGCGTTGGTGGTAACTCCAGGCTCATGCCCATGAGCTTTTCGTTATCCTCTGCGCCGTAAGTGGAGTACTTGTATTCCAACAACGCATACTTGACGAAGTGGAAGTACTGTGGCGACAGTTGAGCCTGCGATGAGAGTAGCAGCACGTGCGAGTTGGCTGTGCTTGCAGGGTAGAACAATTCTAAGAAACGTATCGCCGATTCCTCTTGATCATGGCGGTGGGTTGAGATGCGGCGTCTGATGCTGATGCCGCTTCCTGTCGTCGGGTTGTCGCTCTTCGGGGGCCATTTGAACTTCTCAATGTGCTCTTTGACTGATACGTCGAGCTCGGCTGGTAGCTCGATCGTGATGCGGGGCAGTGTCAGACCGCTGTAATCAGCATCTTTGATCGACTCCAGCAGTCGAAGGACACTGGATGAGCCTGACGGGACTTGAATCAGAATGTCTACAGTGGGATCGTGCCAGTGTTTGAGCGAGCCGGCGTCAAGTCGCGAGACCCAGGCGAAGTCCTCTAATCTGTCCTTTGGTACTTCGACAAGAGGCATCTTTAGTGCACCGGTTTTACTTCGCATGCCGCGCACGAAGAATGCGTCTTCAGACATTGAGTCGTCGATAACGACTGCTTGTGGATGCAGGAAACTGTTGATGTGCGACATGGCTCCCGTCACCGCCGTCTCAGCGCGTACATCGGTACTGTACCTATACGCAGATTTTGATTAGCCCGGGCTATTTTGAAATGATATACGTGGTCTAGACATGTGCTTGCCACCACGACATCCCTTTGGTACTTGGGCGAGTGTACATACTCTGTATAATCCGGTCGCGCATCATGCCACACGGCAGGACACTTAACCTTGTCTATCCCATTTATCTCTAGCAAATCTTCTATTGGTATGTCCTCCCTCCCCATGAAAGTCGCGTGTACGTGGTTCCTGTTCCATTGCGACATGTCGCACACCATCGGCAAAAGCGTCGAGACGCTCTTCAGATTCGACATGGCAAAAAGTATATTCCTATTCTTCTTTTCGTAGCCACCCGTTGCCGAAGCAGACGAACGCAGCGAGCTAGCGAGACGGAAGAAGCGTATCTGTCCATCGTATATGTGTGGAATTGCATCTCCGCGTCTGGGTTTTTGTATGCCCGGGGGCGCTCCCGTAGGTTCGTCGTCGTTGCCGGTCGCACCCGGCTTCTGATACGTCGATGAGATGGGCCGTCCGCGATATCGCTGTTCGACCACCGGGTCTTCGAGGTCGTCCGAGCTGCCGTGGAAGGTGTAGTACAAGAAGCATAAGGCTACTATCGCAAGCAGTATTCTTCTCCGTCGCCAGCGGAATGTGTGATTCCACATTGACCAGCTAGACTGTCGCGCGGGTTTGTATCGGTGGTCATCGTCTTTCTTGCCCAGCTCTTCATCGCCTGGGAGCGTCGTCTTTCGATACATGACGCCGCGAATGGAGCTTCGCTGTAATCACGCGTTGTACAAAGCTTATCTCTCCGCTAGCATTCATCCATGGCGATATCGGAGTAAATGTCGCGTGCGATTCTACGTGCGGGCGGCGGAAGCTGTCTGAGCATGCGACGGGTTGCTGACCTCAGCTATGGGGGTAATACGGAGGGTCCAGAGTCGAGAGAAACAGATGCGCGAATCCTAAGATCATGAAAACAACATAACGGGTGGTGTAAGGTGCTTCCAAAGGCGTGTCGGAGGCAATGGAAGAGGACATCTGGAGTTGCGATAACCTCGATTCATTGTCCTCTCGGAAAGCACATCCCTGCAACGCATCATCCCGCTCGCTTGCAGCTGCCGCCACGTGCCGTCTACGCTACTGCGAACCCTCTCCTGCTTCCCTCGCAACTGCCATCTCGTCCCAAAATCACGCGTGAGCTGCCACATCATCGCTTCTTCGACTCTCCGTATTAACGTGCTGCATACGATCATCACGCCGATTTGCAACACAGCTGCGGAGCTTTACGCACGCCAAAAGCCATTTAGATTAATCAATACGCCCACGCCGGACCAATCTATCCATCTCCTACTCACACCTTCTCATGCTCAGCCAATCGCTCATCTGCCGCCTTCAGAGCCTCGCGCAGAACCTTCTCATTCCGCGGCTTGAAAAGAATCTGATAATCCCGGCACATAGTCACCAGACTGGTAGGGTCTGAGCTGCCCCGGACAGGGTGCACGTCTACCTCCGACTCCGATACAAGCTCAAAGCTGTTCAGCATGCGCAGGAAAACGAGATACAGCTCGCGATTGGCCAACAATGAGCCTGCGCACATCCTGTAACCCAGCCCGTATGTGTGCAAAGGTGCATCCGGCTGCTCGAGCCAGCGCTCTGGGCGGAACTCGTCTGGGTCGCTCCAGACTTCGGGATCTGTGTTTTAGTCAGTATCGCTGTTCTTGGTGCTTATGGATAAGAAAAGAATTGCTTACCCATGTTGCACGCCCACGCGTTCAGATATATTGTACTGCCCGCTGGGATGAGCTTGCCCTCATACATGACATCCTTGATAGTCGCACGGGGCAGCGCCAGACGTAGTACGGTATAGTAGCGCAGACACTCTCTGACCAGTGCGACAATATATCCGCACTTCTGGTCGTCATACGCGTCCGCCAGCGGCTCGTCCTCCGAGTAAAACTTCCGGATCTCCCTGATGGCCTTTTCTTGAATGTCAGGTCTCTGAGCCAGCAACGCGACACTCCACTGCACAAGGGTCGTAATTGTGTCTAGACCGCCAGACAACATTGTCAGACTGATGGACGTCAACTCCTCCTTGTTCAGCGCGGCCTCTTTGTCCTGGATGATGTTCGCCTGGATACATGTCTTGTGGATGCCTTTCTCCATCCGCTCGTCCAACTCGCGGTTCAACTTGGTCAGATACACATCCCTTCGGCGTCGATGCTCTTTCGCAGACTTTGTGCCAGAGCTGAACGGGTTCAGTCTCAGCAGCGGAATGTAGTCTTGCAAGTTTCCGGTTGTACTACGGAACTTCGAGATGGCAGCTTCAACCTCGCATATCTCGTGAAACATGGGGTCGTGACGGCTGCTCATCCGCGTTCCCCAATTGAGAGTCAGCGCAAGAGAAAGAGAGAGGCGCTCGATCATGGGCATCGGGTTGACACCAACGGTACCGGCCTTCCCTGACTCGAATCCGTCCTTGACAAACTCTTTCGTTTCAAGATCTAGGTGGTCAATGTATGTCGCAATGGACGGCTTGTTCAGTGCGGCAGCAGCGCCCTTTCTCCTCCGTTTGAGCGAATCGTTGAAGGGTGAAGTGCCGATCGTCGTACCAGCAGTGTTTGAAAGTACCTAACATCAGTCAGATATATGTCAATATTCCCGTTTCTCTCAACTCACCTTATGGAACGTCCAGAAAACAGGTCTTGAACTCAGCGCCTGGCTATTTCCACCAAAGATCTTCCTTGCAGCCTCGGCGCTGTTCACCACGATCACCGGCTCATTCCCAAGCTGTATCTGGTATACGGCGCCAAACGTCTTACTCCATTCCCTGTACTTCTCCGCCGC